AGTGCCTTCCCGTTCGGCTACAAGCGAGCTGCGGACGGTGAAGATGTCGAGAAGCGGACGATCTACGGCGCTGGCAGTGCCTTCCCGTTCGGCTATAAGCGAGCTGCGGACGGTGAAGATGTCGAGAAGCGGACGATCTACGGCGCTGGCAGTGCCTTCCCGTTCGACCACAAGCGAGACGCATATAATGACAAGACTACAGAGTAATTAAACTCAAATCGACCTCACTAACGAATACCCAAAGGTCTGCAGAATCGCGCGCGTAGGAGAAGTGCTAGACCATCGCAGAGAATGGTTCCCAAAAGGAAGAAAAAATGGATTCCCGATTTGCGTTTAGCTAAGAGTATTTAAAAGTGAATTTGAGCATGTCGTTCTTCTATGCTATCAACTATCATAGAGAAGGACATATCTAGTATGCTATAAGACCGAACATGTATTCGAGCATTTGTTCTATACTCGGATGCGTCTCAAAAACCGGTTAAGTGCGGGGAGGTTGTGGCATCGCATCCTCTCGGACTACGGACTCGGCGGTTTAGCCCTGTTTCCGACGGTGATACCCAATTCCACGTACGTGTGTTCCCTTGCAGCCTGAACAAATGCTGACGCGAGCTAGTTTAGAGACCTTGCTGGACATTAAGATTGAGTCGCTAATAGCTACGTTGTTCCTACGTAAGGATTTCCTTGTCCGCATTTGCCGGGCCGCTTCGCACGCCTTAGAACGCTATACTACAGGTTCCGCAGCTCTCTAGGAACGCTCATTTCACTCGAACATCGGTAGCCTAGAGTACGATTCGCATGATTTGATAGCGCGTGTTGACTCCGCAGATAGTGTTCCTGCTGCCTATTAGGAAGTTATGCTTTTTATTAGCTATATCCTGGCTATAATTTGTGATCGTTGGACTTCGACAGCCTTGCGATGCGGCCCTCTTATCGGCAAATTTCACGCCGTCTTAGAAAGTTGCGGTACTAGTTTAATAATATTCTATTGCTCTAAGGAACCGAATATTCCGATCGCTAGCCTTGTCTACTACTTATAATAACCTATAACTACGATTTTCGAAGAGCTATAGAACGGGAGCTAGAGAATAGCGCTCTCTATCGTAGGCGAAGCTATAGTATATAGGTATTAATAAGATGTATTCTACTATAGTTAAAAGTGTTCTAGAGAGTAATCTTTCTTACTTTAGGATAGGAGATCTCCGCCTATAGGTGTTTTATATAACGCTTAGAGCTTTTTTAATAGGCTAATCGTATAATCGACGAGCAAGTTAAGCTAGTTACTATATATAATCTCTTCGTATACGCGATATAGCTAGCTTAATACGAATAATATATAGGCTACTAGGTTATCTAGCTAAGCTTCGATCCCGCCTTTTAGCTATATTTAAAGAGTAAGACTCTCTACGATACCTATAATACTCCCTATCGTACTTTACTTTACTATAGGCTATAACTACTTAGCTCCCGTTATAATAAAAATAGCAGATAATAAGCTTATTATTTTCGAACCTAGCGCTCGTTATCTTATAACTACTCGACTATAGAATACTCTATCGTAAGCTTTATTAGTCGGAGGAATAGTAGCCTTTATATATAACTATTACTTACCTAGAAAATAACGTAGGCCGATTCGTATAGTATATAAGATTAATAGAGCGTATAGAGTAGCGCGCTAGTTAGAAGTAATATCTATCTCTCGTTTCGTCCTATTATAGTTTAATTCGATTTAATACGAGCGTAGCTAAAGGGAGTTACTCGGCGAGAGTACTATTAGCGGCGAGTACGACTATACTTTCTAAGATTTAATTATATATAGTAGCTTATTTATAGCGATNGTATACTTAGTATTAGGTACGAGTATTATTATATTAGCTTTATTTACGGAGTAGTATTTAGTAGCCTAGATAAAATCTAGAGTAGTAAATCTACTCCTAGGCTAAGCGAGTTATTCTAAGTCTCTATAGATATATAAATAAAGATCTATATAGTATATCTAAGTATAAACTCTACTAGTAGGCTATAAAACTTTCTATAGAATAGTAAGTAAGATATAGGGAAGTAGTCGTAGCTTTAATACCTATAATCGGCCTATTTAAACTAAATCCTAGTAATTCGAGAACTATAGGCTAGAAGATATAAAGTACTCCGAGGGTAATAATAGTATAAATAATCCCGACTATAAGAGAGTAT